AGGATTGCCACAAATGGATTCAACATTGGAAGAAAGATGTTTGGTATAGTTATCAACGTCTTTTATAATGCTAAGGAGATGTTCCTTGTAGGCCGTAGTAAGTCGTTTCTTGACGCTAAGTTCTGCTGTAAGTTCCTGAATTCTCTTATCTTTCTCAACCTGCACAATGATTGCCAAGAAAATCAATTAGGAATTTCTTATATTTGCCTTGAAGTTTTATATACGTAGTAGTATTTTTTATCAAGCCATTCAATTGTAATTCCAAGCATGCTTTAAAATGAAGCTACTTGGCATCTAAATTTGAAAAGTACCTTTACAGGACAAATAATACTTTTAATGCTTACATAACAAAGCATGAAAATAAGCATATACGCAGGCTTTCAAATAACACTTTACTTGAGTCCTTAAATGAGAAAGCACTTATAACACTTATAGATGGGCTATCAATGAACACTTTATAAGGTATCCCAAGCACTTTGCTGAATGAAAGTAAGACTCTCCTGTTTGTGTGATAGCTTTCTTTTCTCCTAACCATTTCTAAAATGGGAGAAATATAGTTTTGGCTAGAAAAGAAAACCAGAGATGTTTTAAGGAAATCATGACCAAAAGCAAAGAGGACTACCTATTTAGCACAACTGCTATATCTAATAATGTTACACAACATAACTTACTTCTACAACACTAGTCAAATCATGACATACAATGATTTTATTTGACTCAAGTAGGGTCGTAAAAGAATCGAATAATTTTGATTCGATTCGCGAATCGAATTCGAAAATGTGGATTCGAATTCGAGTAAGTAGAATACGAATACAAATACTATGATATTCGATTCGAACAATATTCAAATATATTCGAATATATATATACAAACTTGGCTTAATTTACTAACCTACAAACTAATCCTGGCCATCTATTCTAATTGATCTGTCATTACATTTAATCTTGATGCTTTTAGACAGTTGATGGCTCATTAGTCTTTTTTGTTATCTCATTTTGGAAAAGAACCACATTTCTTTCCATAACTGCTACTATTCTATAATTTCCTTTTCATCCATATTCTTCAATCAACCACTTACATCATTCCATCAAAGCTTGAATCGTCGCCATTTTCATCGATCAACAATTTACGCCCTTACTCGAATTGCTTCTTTTCCAACCGTAAGTTTATAATTAAACTCATTTCTCTGCTATGTCCATCTTAAAATTTCACTCCATCTCCATCTCTATTCGCAAGCACTGTTTCTTTTTCTCATCCTAATACAATTTAATTGCAATAGGTCTATTATTAATTGAAGACTGTGGATTCGGGTATGCTATTATAGGCGTTTTCATAATCTCTTCATTGTATTAAGCTCTCTGTGTTCATTTTCAAATTCTGATAGCACAAAGTATTTTTTAGTATTCATCATTGTCTCATATGTTATGTATTCGAAGTATTATTCATCGCTCCAAACTTCATTCTAAAAAATTGTAGTTTTTTACTCTTCAATTGTTGTTTTTTTTTAATTTATAAATTTCAATGTTTTAAAATTAGAATGCAAAGAGTGAATTACTAAATTTGTTGTTAACTAGGTTATTCTTGGGTTACATGAATGATGATTGTATTTGTGATACATTATGCATCATTTATAGGTGTACTATGCATTCATTCAGTATTATATAATAGTTAATTAAATACAGAGTATATATGTCTTTTATGTTGTTAGTTAACTTATTTCACTTCCAAATGGTTATTAATTGAGTCAAAAGTCATCACTAATACATATATGCTAGTAATTAAGTTCATGTGTCATCTTTCATGTACTCCTTTTGTCTAGAATGTATTGTATTTTTTGTGTTTGTTTGATTTTTATGCTTCAAATTTACCTGCATCTTACACTAGTATGTTTAATTTTCATGTTCGAATTGAACTGTATGCACTTATCTGCTTAGTTGATGCATAACTTGTCATCCTTGCAATATTCGCAGGCGCAATATATTGTTTTTGTACCTTACATGGGATAAAAGTAAATGTTCTCTTAGAAGAATCTAGTTTTTAGAAGATGTGGTTGTTGAAGAATCAAAATGTCCCGCAAGAGCCTTTATAGATTGTGGAATGAGATGTTTGGTCACAATAGCTTCATTAGCTTGACTTGTCTCTTTAACAAAGAGAAATTCATAATGTCAGTATATTAATGCAGTTGTTTTTTTACTGCATTTTAATTTCCTGTAATTATACGTACATTGTAAACATGATGTAATTAATACATCTTTACTTCTGTTCAATGTATGAGATGTGCCTATTTATTTTAGTATAGTATGCACTTCTCATCCCACTTAACTTCATTATTAGATGCATTTATATGCATAATTGGTTCCCTGTTCAGAAAATAAGCATTGACTCAATGGTGAGTTATTTTATACAATATTTATTGATAACCAATTTACATTATAATGTGCACTCATCTTCACACTTAAATACATCATTAAATTCATTGATATGCGTACTCGTAAAATACATCTTGAAATCCGGTGTGCACGCCAGATGTTTTTTTAATTTTTGTTTTCATATCGATTGAACAATTTCGTGTTTGCAAAGGTCGTGAAATTTGAGAAATGCTTTTTTACCTTTTAGAACAGGTTCCTCATATATTTATGCATTTTGTGATCTCATGAATTACGTATGCATGTCATTTAAGTATACAATGCACATACCATCTTACTAAAATGTAGTGCATGAACTTCTGAGAATCACAAGTCATACTGATAAAATGCAACATATGAACTACTAAGATGTAAACGTCATAATGATAAGATGCAATATGAACGTAAGTATCAAAGTGCACATATTTTATCACTACGAAGTTGAAATATAAGTCATGCGAACATTGTCAATACATATTGCACATCTCAAAACCTCTATATGCACATATGTAACCTTAAAATAAATATAAAATGAGTACAAATGTCATTATCATAGAATGCAACATAAAGATAAAATGTGTCCACTATATTAGTTTGGTTCATACTTGGATTTATAATCTATAATTGAGTTTACCGTGAAACTATACCAACAAAATAGTACACATATGACATTTCTAGTTTTCTACAGTGAATTGTTTTCAATGAGCTCAATGATTTCAACATTTGTGGTAGTCATATACTACTACCCTACAACATGCACCTCATACAAAAAGTTACTGCATCATACAATGTCTTTCGTGCACCACATTACTAACTTAATATCTAAAAAACACAAATGGAATTACACACTATGTTGCATCTTTTTTCACAAACGTGGGTGCACCAAATAAGTCTCAACATTACATAACACTCTCAAGCACACACATGCATCTTTAGCCATATACTACTACCCTACAACATGCACCTCATACAACAAGTTACTGCATCATACAATGTCTTTTCATGCACCTCATTACTAAATTAATATCTAAAAACACAAATTGAATTACACACTCTGTTGCATCTTTTTTTACAAACGCTTGCACCAAATAAGTCTCAACATTGCATAGCACTTTCAAGCACACGCATGCACTTTTGTCAAGTTTGAAACGAATTTCATCGGTCACCACCCTCAAGCTTCCTGCGATTTCCCTCTTCATATAACTTTCTTCTAGAAAAGTCATTGTTTATACTAATAGTGGGCATTGATTCTTCACAAGAAGTTTTATTCTAAAAGCCCTGCACCAACCTACAAGTATCTTGACGATCAACTTCGAATTCCACTGAGAATGGATTCTGCAGCATACCTTTTTTAGATTTCTTATGCTTTGACGGTTAATTGCATCATGAGATGGTTAGCGTAGAATCAGGGGTAGTGTATTTTACTATTTCCTAATATAAGAAGCGAGGCTTGGAATTTATTTTGCAATTTACTGTAGTAACCTTGGGAATAACTGATGCGGCGTAGTGGGAATTTATTATACGATTCTGTACATCGCAGCCTAAATCTAATACTATGCACTGCAGACAGATCACACTCCATTTGTTGCAAACGAACGACCCAGATTAGTTTGTAGTTTGCATCGGATGAGGAGTTTGTATGTAATCTTCCCCCTATATATATATATATATATATATATATATATATATATATATATATAGGGGAGGGTTCCGGTGAGAATACTCTCTTAGGAGAGAAAAAAAGAAAGAAATTGACGGGCACTTTTCACGGTGCGTCAAAATAAATTCAATACTAGCACTAATCCGTAGTATAGCGTAGTAGAGTTCGTATCCACAAAGAAAGGAATACTTTTCTTTTTAATTTAAGGAGTAAGTAAAGGGGGAGATTTGGATTGAGTGATTTAATTTAATTAAAAACTAAGATGAACGACTTATATGAGATTTAATTCAAAGATAAAAAGGACTTGGCATTGCTACTTTCCACTTGTTGTATATTTTAGTCGATCATTGTTATATCTATAACTTATTCCCTCTCGAATACTCAATCGGGGAGTATATCCACTTCATCGAGGGTTGTTATTAACAACGACCGTTCATTAATAACCCTTACTATTAATCAAATATAGAACAACGTCTTATACCGATTTAATAGTACCATTTAATCTTTCTAACTCCTTGATGAAATCAATTGAGATTGATAACCCCAACACAACGGTTTCGATTTAACCAACAAAATTAATCTCTCTTAAGTTTATTAACCATGACCGTGCATTAATAAACCGAAGTTACTTACTTGTGAAACCATCAACGATTAACCATCGGTTCGTTGATCGTTTCTAGTAATAATTAATATATGAAACAAAACTAGTTGATCCTTTAAGTAATGTTCAAAATATTAATATGAAATATGAATAGGAATTAATTAATATTCAAGGAATAATATTATTAAAGAAGATGAATCCTACCATAATTAATATCAAGATGTTAACTAATTGTCATGTTAGCAACACTCCCCAACATTAATATAGAGGAAGAAAATACTACTATAACGAATGTCAAGATGTTAGCTAATTGTCATCTTAGCAACACTCCCCAACATTAATATAGAGATAGTATTATGGAAAGAACTAATAATTAATATTCAAGGGAAGAAGTTTAAGAAAATAACTCACAACTTTAATAATCAACAAGCTTCAAGAGCAACACCAAGAAATGGAAGTTTAACTCCTCATTTGGAGACTAAACATGCTATAAAAATATAAGAAATGCTATTCTAAATTGAGCTTAGGAGTATATAAGAAGGAATCATTTTTTAGAGAAGAAAAAGAGTGTTATTTATAGGTGTTTTTCAACACCTTTGGCCGGGTACCCGACCGGGTCAAGTACTTACCCGACTGGGTCCGGTCAAAATCAGATAATTCACCACGTTCTGGTGATCTTCGCACACCGGGTTGTCCCTGGTCACTTCTCACCCGACCGGGTGAGGTATGGGGCCCGACCGGGTCCAGCTCTTTCCTCAGCAGTTCGGTTTTCAAATCAGACCCGACCAGGTGAAGTTTCCTACCCAGTCGGGTATTTGCTCCTGGACAGTCAAAATTCCTTTTTCTTCACTTCAACATCCTCCTTTTCAACATCCTAATTCCTAATTCTACTTTACAACTTACAAATGAAAACTAAAATACAATTACAACTAAAATCACACAAATGTTTACAAACTAAATAAAACGTCAAACAATCCCCATCAATGAAACATAAAAACATATAATTATGCACTACTAATTAGTGTGCATCAAACACCCCCACACTTAAACCTTTACTCGTCTCGAGTAAATCAAATCCAATCCAAGAAGTCCTTTTAAAATGACAAGAATATCAACGCAAAACATCCAAAAGTGTTTTTACCACAATATAAAGCATCCCCAACAGTAGATAAAGTAAAAATGGGGGTCTTCAACTTCATCTCTATTTCTCTTTTAAGCTTATCACCTTCAGGATCCTGCAAAATAGACATTTCTCTCATTCTCTCGTTTTGCCTAGGTGCCCTTTCAGGTTTTCATCCCAGCTTCCCACATTTTTCTTTTAATTCTCACAACCTCACTCTTTATTTTATTGCTTTAATTTTTGCTTGAGTTGCCCTTTGTGGGTTTTCATCTCAACAAGCTCTTTTTTTTTGGTTTTTTTAAAGAAAATAAAATGAAAAAGAGTAGGATTGTGAGCATACCAGAACAATCTCTGCACCCCCACACTTAGTATCTGGCACTGTCCCTAGTGCCCGCCCAGACCTCCACCTTGGTGTCTGTCCTCATCCATGTGATACCCGCCATAACCACGATCATCGCATCCACCACCGGAACTCGATCCTGCAAAGTAACCCCACTGAGAGGGGTCATACCATGATGGTGCGAGAGGGGGAGTGGTCATAGAGGAAAAGGAGCCCTGGTGTGCTATATAGGAGTATATCGGACCAAAGATTCGCCGTTGGTCCTCTTCATATCTCCGCCAGTCTTCTTGTCGTTGTTCCTCCATCCTCTAAATTACAAAAATGTGTGCCTCGATCGCTTATTAAAATTCGAGGGACCCCGAACCTTGAAAATATGTGCACTGTTCTAAAAATCGGCCTAGTCGGACCGATTAATCGGCCTAGGCGGCCTTGGCGGCCCTAACCGAGGAACACTAATCGGCCTAGTCGGCCTAAAAATCGGCCTAGTCGGCCAAAAAATCGGCCTAGTCGGCCGCCTAGGTGCTAGGCGCCTTTCAACCGCCCGACTAGCGCCTAGCGAGTTTTAGAACAATGAATATGTGTGATTTGAGAAAACTAGCCACCACCTTAGCATCATCAGTTTTTGTTGCTTTTGCCTCTACCCATTTGGAGACGTAATCTACTGCAAGAAGGATGTAGATGTTACCTTGGGAGTTTGGGAAAGGTCCCATGAAGTCGATACCCCATGCATCGAAAATCTCACAGAAAAGCATGGGGTTTTGTGGCATTTCGTTCCTCCTTGAAATGTTGCCCGCTCTTTGGCAATTGTCACAAGATTGAAAAAAGCCGTGTGCATCCCGAAATAGACTCGGCCACCAAAAACCGCTTTCAAGTATCTTCATTGTCGTTCGTTTCGGACCGAAATGTCCTCCACAAGCATACGAGTGACAAAACTCTATGATGTGGACTATCTCATATTCAGGGATGCATCTTCGGATTATTTGATCCTTACAATGCTTCCACAAATATGGGTCATCCCACACATAGAGTCTTGAATCCATTCTTAATTTTTCTTTTTGAGATTTTGAGAGTTGTGGAGGAAATTTGCCGGAAACGAGGAAGTTCACGATATTTGCGTACCATGGTTGTGTGACTTTGATGGAGAAGAGAGTTTCGTCCGGGAATTCGCCTTTGATGAGATTTGTGTGGAGGTCTTCGATGTCTTTGTGAGGAATGAGGCGGCTTAAATGATCAGCCACCAAGTTCCCCGCTCCTTTCTTGTCTTTAATTTCCATATCAAACTCACCCAATAGAAGGACCCATCGAATGAGTCTTGGTTTGACTTCTTTCTTTGTCATAAGGAATCGGAGAGCGGCATGGTCGGTGTAGACAATAACTTTCGTTCCAAGAAAGTAGGAACGAAACTTTTCCAAAGCAAAGACTACCGCTAGCATTTCCTTCTCGGTGGTGGAATAGTTCTTTTGGGCTTCGTTGAGGGTTGATGAGGCGTAGTAGATGACATGAGAAGCTCTCCCGACCTTTTGGCCTAAAACAGCCCCACCGCATAGTCACTTGCGTCGTACATGATCTCAAAAGGAAGAGACCAATCGGGAGCTTGTATGATTAGGGCAGTCACTAATCTTGCTTTTAAAGTGTCAAAAGCCTCTTTGCATTCATCATTTAGATCAAATTCCACCTCCTTTTGTAAAAGTTTGCATAGAGGAGATGAAATTTTTGAGAAATCCTTGATGAATCTCCTATAGAAACCGGCGTGACCGAGGAAAGAGCGGATGTCCCGTACATTTGTGGGGTACGGGAGCATTTGAATCACATCAATTTTTGCTTTGTTCACCTCGATCCTCTTTGATGAGATCACATGCCCAAGAACAATCCCTTGTTCTACCATGAAGTGGCATTTTTCAGAGTTCAGCACAAGGTTGGATTCAATGCAACTTTTTAGCACAAGAGTGAGGTGATAGAGGCAGAGTCAAAAGAGTCCCCATGGATTGTGAAATCATCCATAAAGACCTCCATGAATACCTCCACAAATTCTGAAAATATGCTCATCATGCACCTTTGAAAGGTGCCCGGTGCGTTGCATAATCCAAAGGGCATTCATCGGTAGACAAAAGTGTCAAATGGACATGTGAAGGTTGTTTTCTCTTGGTCCTCCGGGGCTATTGGTATTTGGAAATACCCGGAGTAACCATCGAGAAAACAATAGAACTTGTGCCCTCCTAACCTTTCTAGCATTTTATCAATGAAAGGCCATGGAAAGAAGTCTTTTCTAGTTACCGAATTGAGTCTTCGGTAGTCAATGCAAACTCGCCACCCGTTTTGAACTCGGGTGGGCACCATCTCGCCATCCTTGTTCTCAATGACCGTTACTCCGGTCTTCTTTGGCACCACTTGAGTAGGACTCACCCACTTGCTATCGGAAATGGGAAAAATGATTCCCATTTGAAGCAGTTTGATCACCTCCTTTTTCACCACCTCCATCATGGGTGGGTTCAATCTTCGTTGCGGTTGTCTAACCGCTTTGGCCTCGTCTTCGAGCAAGATCCTGTGCATGCATGTGGATGGACTAATGCCTTTGATGTCGGCAATAGACCATCCAATGGCCAATTTATATTCCTTGAGGACCGCGATCAATCATTCTTCTTGTTCTTGGGACAGGGCATTTGAGATAATCACCGGTAGAGTGTGATTTTCGCCCAAGAACACATGCTTCATATTTTCAGGGAGTGGTTTTAATTCCACCTCCGGTGCCTGCAAAACAGATGGTAGCGGCTTCTCGTTTGGAATGGTTAGTGGGAGGGCTTTAGAGCCCGGTGGCAAAAGTGGGAGTTAATTTTACTCCGCCACCATAACCTTCATATTATTTGACATAGAGTATTCCAAAGTAAAATCCTCTATGTCGTTTTCAATTGAGCTTAGTACCTCATCTTTTCCTTCAATTTCAAATACATCTTGGACCCAAGTGTCGCAAGTGTCAATCGCAAAGAGAGAGTGATTATCAGTGGGGTATCTCATGGAGTCGTAGATATTAAATTCGACTTTTTCACCATCGAACTCCATGGTTAACACTCCACTAAAAACGTCAATTTTTGCCTTGGCCGTTTTCAAAAAAGGCCTGCCTAGTAAAATTGGGACTGCATTTTTATCGTTCTCCATTTCAAGAACGTAAAAATCAGCGGGAAAGATTAAATTATCCACCATGACGAGAACATCCTCTACTACACCTTTTGGGTAAGCATTGGATCTATCGACAAGTTGGATAACAACCCCCGTTTCATGTAAAGGTCCTAGTTCTAGGGACTTATATAGAGAATATGGGATGACATTGATCGATGCACCCAAATCTAACATAGCCCTAGAAGAACTAGAATTTCCAAGTTTACATGGTATAGTGAACATTCCCGGGTCACTATACTTTTTAGGCAGTTTCTTTTGAAAAACGGCCGACACTCTTTCACTTACTTGGATTTTATGCTTGTCATTCAACTTGTGTTTCCTTTTAATTGTGCAAAGTTATTTTAAAAACTTTGCAAACCTAGGAACACCTTTTATTAAATTGAGAAGGGGGATATTTACCTCACATTTGCTGAAGGTCTCATAGATGTCTTTGTCATTGTTGTATTTTCGGTTATCCTTGAGAGCCTCCGGAAAAGGTGGCACCGGCTCATATGAATCGAGCGGTGGGAAATTTCTTTGAGGTGTGATCTCCTCCTCTTTTGTCTCTTCATTTTGAGGATTTGTGTTTGGCACCAAGATCTCCTCCTCCTCCTCTCCCACATGGCTCTTTTCTTTTGCCTTAGCCATAACCAATTCTTTGCCACTTCTCAAAGTGACCGCATGAGCTTGTTGCCTTGGATTCGGCTCCGTTTGAGATGAGAGTTTTGCCGAATCCCTAGCTTCTAGCCTACTCACGGCATTTGAGATTTGGCTCATTTGGCTTTCCAAGTTGTGGATGCTAGACTTTGTTGTTTCTTGAAATTGGGCCACACTTTGTTGCATCGTAGTCATGTTCATGGCTAGTGCTCGAATCATGTCTTCGGTGGACATGTTTGAGTTCGATGTTTGGCCTTGTTGTTTATATTGTTGAGGAGGAGGGTTTGATTGTTGAGGGGGTTGAGAGTTTCCGTACCTTAGATTTGGATGATCCCTCCATCCCGGATTGTAGGTGTTGCCGTGAGGATCGTACCTCCTTTGGCCTTGGAACCCCAAAGCATTGACTTGCTCAGAGTTCTCCTCTTGTAGAGTTGGGCAAGAATCTGTGGGATGCCCTTGTGTTGAACAGATGCCGCAGCCCTTGACTTCTTGGGTATTTGGATTTAAGAGGAAATCTTTAACCAAAGAAGTCAAGACGACTACTTGACTCTCCAACGAGTTGTTGGATTCCGCCGCCATGACTCTCTTTGTTGACCGCCGATCATAGTGTCTACAATTTTCGGCCAACTCCGAGATAAGATTCCTAGCTTGAGAAGGAGTTTTGTTGATTATTCCTCCTCCACATGCGGCATTGATCATCCATCTATCATCATCACAAAGACCATCATAAAAGTAAAGGATGAGATCTTGCTCCGAGTAGCCGTGATACGGGCAGCTTGCACAAAGTTTCTTGAATCGTTCCCAATATTCGTAGAACGATTCATCATCTTTCTGCTCTACATTGCTGATTTGCTTTTTGAGAGATGAGGCGACAGAGGCGGGATAGTACCTTTTGAGGAAAGCTTTCTTCATGGCCGCACATGTACCTATACTTCCCGAAGGAAGATAGAATAGCCAATCTTTTGCGGTATCTTTTAGGGAGAACGGAAAGGCCCTCAACTTGATCTGCTCCTCGGTAACTCCATTTGGGCACATGCTTGTGCAAACAATATGGAATTCCGATGGATGTTTGTTTGGGTCCTCGCCCCGTAGACCATGGAATGAAGGAAGGAGATGGATGAACCCCGATTTGAGCTCAAATGTAGCACCTTCATCAAGAGTAGGGAAGGTGATACATAGCGGTTGTTGGTTAAGATTAGGAGCCGTGAGCTCCCTCAACGTTCTCGTTTCAAGACCCATAGTGATCGGCTCTTTGGTGTCGCTAGAATGAGAACTAGCACTTGATGATTCCTCCGAAGAAGTATTCGGAAATAATTTCCTAAACCTCTCGAAGGCTTGTTCTGTTTCGGGCTTTGTTTGGTAGGTGATTTGGTTTATAGATCGGTGTTTAACCATATACTCAAATAAAGCTCAGAAGAATAGAAATCTAAGAACTCTTAATATTTTGTTTATTTAATTTTTTTTTTATTTTTCTTGAAATGAAATAAAAAGAAAAATTAATTGTCTGTCACCGGCAACGACGCCAAATTTGACGGGCTCTTTGTCACGATGCGTCAAAATAAATTCAATACTAGCACTAATACGTAGTATAGCGTAGTAGAGTTCGTATCCACAAAGAAAGGAATACTTTTCTTTTTAATTTAAGGAGTAAGTAAATGGGGGATTTGGATTGAGTATTTAATTTAATTAAAAACTAAGATGAACGACTTATATGAGATTTAATTCAGAGATAAAAAGGACTTGGCATTGCTACTTTCCACTTGTTGATATATTTTAGTCGATCATTGTTATATCTATAACTTATTCCCTCTCGAATACTCAATCGGGGAGTATATCCACTTCATCTAGGGTTGTTATTAACAACGACCGTTCATTAATAACCCTTACTATTAATCAAATATAGAACAACGCCTTATACCGATTTAATAGTAGCATTTAATCTTTTTAACTCCTTGATGAAATCAATTGAGATTGATAACCTCAACACAACGGTTTCGGTTTAACCAACAAAATTAACCCCTCTTAAGTTTATTAACCACGACCGTGCATTAATAAACCGAAGTTACTTACTTGTGAAACCATCAACGATTAACCATCGGTTCGTTGATCGTTTCTAGTAATAATTAATATGAAATATGAATAGGAATTAATTAATATTCAAGGAAGAATATTATTAAAGAAGATGAATCCTACCATAATTAGTATCAAGATGTTAACTAATTATCATCTTAGCAACACTCCCCAACATTAATATAGAGGAAGAAAATACTACTATAACTAATGTCAAGATGTTAGCTAATTGTCATTTTAGCAACACTCCCCAACATTAATATAGAGATAGTATTAAGGAAAGAACTAATAATTAATATTCAAGGGAAGAAGTTTAAGAAAATAACTCACAACTTTAATAATCAACAAGCTTCAAGAGCAACACCAAGAAATGGAAGTTTAGCTCCTCATTTGGAGACTAAACATGCTATAAAATATAAGAAATTCTATTCTAAACTGAGCTTAGGAGTATATAAGAAGGGATCATTTTTTAGAGAAGAAAAATAGTGTTATTTATAGGTGTTTTTCAACACCTTTGGCCGGGTACCCGATCGGGTAAAGTACTTACCCGACCGAGTCCGGTCAAAATCAGATAATTCACCACGTTCTGGTGATCTTCGCACACCGGATTGTCCCCGGTCACTTCTCACCCGACCGGGTGAGGTATGGGGCCCAACCGGGTCCAGCTCTTTCCTCAGCAGTTCGGTTTTCACATCAGACCCGACCGGGTGAAGTTTCCTACCCGGTCGGGTATTTGCTCTTGGACAGTCAAAATTCCTTTTTCTTCACTTCAACATCCTCCTTTTCAACATCCTAATTCCTAATTCTACTTTACAACTTACAAATGAGAACTAAAATACAATTACAACTAAAATCACACAAATGTTTACAAACTAAATAAAACGTCAAACAATCACCATCAATGAAACATAAAAACATATAATTATGCACTACTAATTAGTGTGCATCAGAAATCCAACCATTGACTAATGTAATCGTGCGGCTTAGATGAGGGCTTGGGTTTTTAAAAAACGCACGTTGCACCTCACGTGATTGATCGAAAAATGGAAAGGAGTGCATGAGATTAATGATGAAAGGGCATTAAAGTAAAACAACATTGGGTGGTCGTTTGGCAGGAGACGAGTAAATGGAAAGAAATCCCAGTAATCGTGCGAGCCAATTTCGAAATAATATTATCTTCTGCACGCTTCTAAGGCGAGTAAATAAGACTCTCCTGTTTGTGTGATAGCTTTCTTTTCTCCTAACCATTTCTAAAATTGGAGAAATATAGTTTTGGCTAGAAAAAAAAAACCAGAGATGTTTTAAGGAAATCATGACCAAAAGCAAAGAGGACTACCTATTTAGCACAACAGTTACTGCTATATCTAATAATGTTACAGAACAAAACTTACTTCTGCAGCACTAGTCGAATCATGACATACAGTGGTTTTATTTGAATCAAGTAGGGTTGTAAACGAATCGAATAATTTTGATTAGATTCGCGATTCGAATTCGAAATGTGGATTCGAATTCGAGTAAGTAGAATACGAATATGAATACAAATCTCTTGTATGATTCGAATAGTTTATGAATACGAATACAAATGATATGATATTCGATCCGAACAATATTCAAATATATATATATATATATATATATATATATATATATATATATATATATATATATATATATATATATATATATATATATATGTGTGTGTGTGTGTGTGTGTGTGTGTGTGTTCATACAATATATAGTACTCCTTATAAATAATGGGAAATTGCCTTAAATAAGAGTAAATGAGGTTTGTAATTCCAAAATAGGACTACTATGTTTTCCTTCCCGAAATAGGAGTTGTTACTGTCATGTATGAAAATTACTGGCATGATTGAAAAATACTGCCATTAATTATAATAAATATTGTAATGTTAAATGCACTATACTGCAACTATTTTACAGTCACACCTACACGATGACAGTGAATACTGTCATGTTAGTCCTATTTCGGTAATAAAAACATGGTAGTCCTATTTTGGAATTTCAAACTCCATTTACTGCTATTTTGAGAAATCTCCCAATAAATAAACATAATTCAACGTAAAAGTATCAATAACATAATATTTATGTATAAAAACTAGTAGGTATTTTGCATATTTTAATTTAAATGTTCTTACTTTTTTGCCAGGTCAAAATACCTTATTTTAGAGTTATAATTCTTCATTGAATTTTTTATTGATGTTAAATTTGAAGAAGTAACTTGTAGATATATTTTGTTTGGCATAAAATATGTACTATGAAAATGAGGTAAAATGGGCAAATTATACATTATAATTATTTTCATAATTTAACTTTAATGTTTTTCGAATTCGAATAGTATTAAAATATATTCGAATATAACAAACGAATCGAATACGAATATAAAACAAGATTCGAATATTAAGCGAATACGAATACGAATATTGGATAATTATACGAATACGAATAATATTGTCAAGTATTCGCTTCGATTTGTTTACAAGACTCAAGTGTTACTTGACAAACATTTAAACAAATAAAGAACATGATATGCTTCAACATATGTTATACTTGAGAGCCACATATAAACAAACTTCAACATATGTTATACTTGAGAGCCACATATAAACAAACATTCATGATTCATCTATAATTATAGGCTTATAGCTATACACGAAGAAGAATATAATTGCAAAGCTGCACACGAGACCTAGAAAACAAATAGAATTGTTTAAGGTGCGCTTGGATCCCATAAAACACCAAAGAAAGAAAATAAAGATAAGAAAATCTGCATTCTTGTGTTTGGCTTTACCTCAAAAAAATGCAAAAGGGTAATGAAATGTGATTAATGTTTTTAAAATATTCACACATATTTTGTGTTCTCAATTGGCCCATAAGACACTCAAAGTTTGAATCCAACCCTTTTGTTAGTTCAACTTATAGACTTACTAACCCATGACTCTCTCCTTAACTGTACAATGTGTAATTCTAACAAATATCAAGAATAACTCATTTCAGTTTGAACAAATGTTTACTGTTTCCCTCACATTTCCTTTCGAAAATTTCCCATGATTTTCTTTCAATAACATTTTCCAATTCCAGACAAACCTCAATGATCACAGAAGACAAACACAATAACGTTTTCATGCAGAAAAGAAAGAAAAAAGGAATCTTACGGAAGATAAATGGCCATTGAGGGGTGAATCTGCTGTCAAGGGATGACTATGGTCCTTCACAAACTTCCTCACCACCCACATGGTCCCATTTTTTTCTCTCTGTATTAGTATCATTGCTTCACAACCTTCACGCTGTCTATAACGCTGCTTCATGCTTGCATCCTTTACAGCGTGGAGAACTTCTCTACATCCGAGTGCACGTGATATAACACAATTTTCATATTGAGACCTACGAGATGATAATACACGAGTTGCAAATCCAACCCGCCTAGCATACTCCACATAGAATGCTCTTCCTGCCCATTCAGACTCAAATGTCATGCCCTCAAATGGTTCTTGAACTCTGTTGGTTTCTGTTCTTCCAACCCCAACGTCCACTGAATAGTTATATGTAATTTTATTCTTAAATAATCAAACATTCAGATAAAAGACAGACTGGCAAAAAAGACTCTTTGTATGTCACAATAATAAGAAATTTATGTATGCATATGTATTAAATAGTGATGCATTTATCTAGAATATTCTATGTAGAAAAGGCTAGAGATGATCTAGAGAGTTAAAGCTAGAAAGTATTCTAGAAAATTCTCTACTAGAGAATTCTTATGTAAAATCTAGAGTTATTAGACATAAATGTAGAATACTCTAGAATCATAGCATTTAATAAGGATCTAGAATGATCCTCTAGCTCCTATAAATAGGACTCATTGTACTCATTTGCATACCAAGCAAAACCAAGAAACATCAATACAATACTACTTTTCTAGAAACAAGAGCTCTCCTCTAAAACACATCATCTACATTACAGCTCACTAAAATCACTTATTCTACTCATACAACCAACAACCTCTTCTATTTTCTAACAAGTGGTATCAGAGCTTGTTCGATCATAAGCGGGCATTATGGCGACATCAAGCTTCTCGGTATCAACTCCGATGTTCAATGGAGAAAGCTATGACTATTGGAGTGTCCGTATGAAGACTTACCTAGAATCACATGATCTCTGGGATATTGTTGAAGAAGGAATCATCATGCCGGAAAAAGGAAGTGACGACGCATCAACTTTCGAGGTACGTAAGAAACAAAAACAACAAAATGCTAGAGCTCTCTATCTTCTTCAACAATCCGTTTGTGATACTATTTTCCCGAGAATAATTCGTGCTACTACGGCAAAAGAAGCTTGGGATATTCTTAAGGAGGAATTTCAAGGAAATGAGAAAGTTAGAACTATTAAATTACAAAGTTTAAGAAGAGAGCTCGAAAAATTTAAAGATGAGAGATTCTGAAGTGGCAAAAGATTATTTCTCTCGGGTTATACATATAGTCAACGAAATGAGAACTCTTGGAGAAAACATAACCGACGAGAGAATAATCCAGAAGGTCCTAATCAGTCTCCCTGAAAAATATGATCCAGTAGTTTCGGCTATTGAGGAGTCAAAAGATCTATCAAAAATGTCCATCACTGAATTAATGGGGTCGCTAGAAGCACGTGAGCAAAGGCTAAACAGACGACACGAAAGTTCATTAGAAAGTGCCTTCCAGTCTAAGCTCAACATTAAAAGGAATCACTCGAGAAATGGTGAAAACTTTAAACCACATAAAGATGGGAATTCTAACAGTAAGGAGAGGAAGACGAACTTTCCACCATGCAAAATATGCAAGAAGACTAATCACTTAGAGAAAGATTGCTACCATCGAGGAAAGCCACAATGCAGAAATTGCAAGAGGTTCGGGCATGAAGAAAAAGATTGCAGAGATAGAAGAAACTATCAGGCCAACTATTCTGAAGATTTTAAGGAGAAGGAGTACATGTTCTACGCATGTCACTCAGCCATAGAAGCAAAAGAAGAAGAGTGGTACATCGATAGTGGGTGCAGCAATCACATGACATCCAACGAGACCATCTTCCATGACTTAGACACCTCTATCAAGACAAAGGTCAAGATGGGCGATGGCGATTTGGTGGAGGCAAAGGGGAAAGGTACCATTGTCATAGATACAAAGAAAGGTACGCGCTTTATTAGAAACGTTCTCCTAGTGCCACGCTTTGCACAAAATCTACTAAGTGTTGGCCAAATGATGGAAAGTGGATATGCCTTGCACTTTGAGAAAAATTCTTGCCGAATTTATGACAAGAACAATAATCAAGAAATTGTTGAAGTAAAAATGGGAAATAATAGAAATTTTCCTATTCAATGGCAATATCCACAAAAGGCGATGGTGACTCAACTGAGTGATACGAGTCTATGGCATCGAAGATTTGGGCACTTCAATCTCAATGCCTTGAGATTACTACACCAAAAGAAGATGATGAGAGACATGCCTCTACTGGATGAAAAAGAAGGAGTATGTGAAGGATGTATGGTTGGGAAGCAGCACAGGCAACCATTTCCAACAGAAAAGACATGGAGAGCCAAACAGATACTAGAGCTTGTCCACACCGATGTCTGCGGTCCAATGCGCACGCTTTCAGTTTCGAAGAACAGGTACTTCATACTCTTCATCGATGATTACTCTAGGATGACATGGGTGTATTTTTTCCAAGAAAAATCCGAAGTCTTTACAATATTCAAGAGATTCAAGAACTTCGTGGAGAAACAGAGTGGTCATCAAATCAAGAAGTTGAGAAGCGATCGAGGTACCGAATACAACTCAAAAGAATTTGACAAGTTCTGCGAAGATGAAGGTGTAGAGCATCAACTAACAGTAGCATACACTCCACAACAAAATGGGGTATCCGAAAGGAAGAACCGCACAGTCATGGAGATGGCAAGGTCTATGTTAGCTGAAAAAGGAATGCCTAAAACGTTCTGGGCAGAGGCAGTATATACTTCAGTCTATCTTCTAAACCGGTGTCCAACTAAGGCGGTTTTAAACAAAACACCTATTGAGGCATGGTATGGACAAAAGACTTCAGCCAAACATTTGAAGGTCTTCGGAAGCATATGCTACATTCATGTTCCCTCTGTTAAAAGGCACAAATTAGAAGACAAGACAGAGAAGGGCATCTTCCTTGGCTATAGCTCCAAATCCAAGGGATATCGAATCTACAATCTCGAGACAAAGAAGTTGGTGACAAGTCGAGATGTGGAGTTTGACGAGCAAGCCTCTTGGAATTGGGAGACAGAAAAAGTTGAAAGAAAGACAACTACTGTCCAACTAGAGGAAATACCAGAAGAGGAAAATCACGATCAACAAAGCCCCACGTCTACTCCAAGATCCTCTTTTGAAGCTAATACATCAAGAAATCACGACTCCTCGCCAGAATCCCCACCTCTTCGGGTAAGAACTCTAGCAGACCTATATGAGTCTACTGACATCTATGAAACATGCAACTTTTGCTCCTTGGAGCCATATAGCTACACCGAAGCCTCCAAAGAAAAAGTTTGGATTAAAGCAATGGAGGAGGAGATCAAAATGATAGAAAAGAATGATACTTGGGAAATGGTAGATCTTCCGCATAACAAGGAGGTTATTGGAGTCAAATGGGTGTATAAAACAAAACTGAACCCTGATGGATCAATTCAGAAGCATAAGGCAAGGCTGGTTGCAAAGGGGTATTCTCAAATACCGGGAGTTGACTACACAGAGACGTTTGCACCAGTTGCCCGGATGGACACAATAAGAACACTCATAGCTCTTGTTGCTCAGAAGAAATGGAAAATTTATCAGCTAGACGTCAAGTCAGCCTTTCTAAATGGAGAGCTACGAGAAGAAGTGTATGTGGAGCAACCAGAAGGATTCATCAAAGAAGAAGGAAAAGTTCTTCGTCTAAAGAAAGCGCTTTACGGGCTCAAACAAGCTCCACGAGCGTGGTATAGCAAGATTGATGGATACTTCACCCGTCAAGGGTTCAGGAGAAGTAAGAACGAGGCTACACTATACATCAAATCCCAAGGTAAATCTGACATTCTCATCGTCTCTCTATATGTTGATGACTTAATTGTCACGGGAAATAATTCCAAATTAATTGAAGAATTTAAGAGAGACGTGATGAACACTTTTGAGATGAGTGACTTGGGATTAATGCACTACTTCCTTGGCATGGAGATAAGTCAAGAAGAAGAAGGCATATTCTTATCTCAAGAAAAATATATTAAGGACATGCTAAAGAAGTTTAAAATGCAAGACTGCAAAGCCGTCGTTACTCCACTGGTTCCTAATGAAAAATTGAAGAAAGAAGATGGGTCAAAGCAGACGGACGCAACCAATTACCGAAGTTTGATTGGGAGTCTACTCTACTTAACGGCTACAAGGCCGGACATCATGTATGCTACAAGTTTGCTCTCGAGGTTCATGGAAAGTTCAACTGAGACTCATTATGGAGCGGCAAAGAGACTCCTTAGGTATCTACAAGGAACCATCAATTATGGTATTTCGTACAAAACAACTCATGACTCACGACTAACTGGATATAGCGACAGTGATTGGGCTGGATCTCAAGATGACATGAAAAGCACCTCCGTTTACGCATTTAAGCTGGGTTCGGGAATTTTCTCATGGGGATCAAAGAAACAAGATTCTGTTGCACTATCTTCAGCCGAAGCCGAGTATGTTGCAGCAGCCGGAGCAGCGTGCCAAGCTATATGGCTAAAAAGAATATTAGAAGACATGGGAGAATTGCAAAGTTCTGCGACTAAAATATTTTGTGACAACAAGTCAGCTATTGCGATGGCTAAAAATCCAATTCAGCACAATCGTACTAAGCACATCGATATCAAGTATTACTTCTTGAGAGATGTCCAAGCAAAGGGGCATATTGAGATGAAGTACTGCCCAACAGAAGAACAATTGGCAGATATTTTCACGAAGGCCCTGCCAAGAGACAGATTCCAGTTTCTGCGAAGAATGCTTGGAGTCACCGACAAATGCATCAAGGAGGAGTATTAAATAGTGATGCATTTATCTAGAATATTCTATGTAGAAAAGGCTAGAGATGATCTAGAGATTTAAAGCTAGAAAGTATTCTAGAAAATTCTCTACTAGAGAATTCTTATGTAAAATCTAGAGTTATTAGACATAGATGTAGAATACTCTAGAATCATAGCATTTAATAAGGATCTAGAATGATCCTCTAGCTCCTATAAATAGGACTCATTGTACTCATTTGCATACCAAGCAAAACCAAGAAACATCAATACAATACTACTTTTCTAGAGACAAGAGCTCTCCTCTAAAACACATCATCTACATTACACCTCACTAAAATCACTTATTCTACTCATACAACCAACAACCTCTTCTATTTTCTAACAATATGACACAAATTGTCCAGCACTAGCTTGACACCAGTCCATCATATACCATGAAAACCAAGCGCACATGCAAACATGAGGTTGGGATATGATTAATTGGTTATGTGACTCTTTCTGTCAAATTA